TTTTTTTTTTTAATGGCCAAGCACACAGAAAAAAAACAAACTTTAAAAACTGTGAAAATAAATAAAGTGCAATACCCACTATCCACCCCTTTTAAATATATCTGCAGGTAAGCCTTGCAAGGATGAGATTTTTGGGATGCACTGTCTTTGATTATATTTAGGCCCACTAGTAAATTGGCTGGTGACTTGGGTTTTTTTTTTCACAGGGCTTTTTTACCTAGTGCTTTATATATATATATAATTGTTATTTTTATTGTTTTAATAGTTGCTTTGTATTATCATGCTTTTATCTGTGGCTTTTGACACTGTTGATCATTAACAGCTTCTTCTCATCCTCAGCAATATCGGTCTACAAGATATTGCTCTCTCTCCTGGTGCTCCTCCTACTTCTCACAGTGCTCTTTCAGTTTTTTTTTCTCTGGCTCTGCCCCAACTCCTCTCTGTTGGTGTCCCCCAAGGTTCAATCCTTGGTCCCCTACTGTTCTCTATCTATACTGCCTCCCTTGGTAAACTCATTAGCTCCTTTGGCTTCCAATTTCATTTCTATGTGGATGACACACAAATATACCTGTCCTCTCCTGATCTCTCCCTGTCCCTCTTGACTAGTGTCTCTGACTGCCTCTCTGCTATTTCTAACTGGATAGCTGCCCACTTCCTTAAACTAAACTTCACCAAAACTGAAATTCTTGTCTTTCCTCCCACAAGGAGGTGTCTGTCTCCCTCCAACTCAACGGTGCTACCATCAGCTACACCACACAGGCTCGCTGCCCAGGGGTTCTCTTTGACTCTGACGTCTCCTTCACGCCTCATGTTCAGTCTATTGCCAAATCATGCTGCTTCCATCTCAAAAATATTGCGCGCATCCGACCCTACTTGACGCCAGATGCGACTAAGGTGCTGGTCCATTCCACTATCTGTTCTTGTCTTGACTACTGTAATCCGCTTCTCAGTGGTCTTACATGCTTCCAACTTGCGCCGTTACAGTCCATAATGAATGCTGCGGCGAGGATCATCTTCCTGTCCACCCGCACCTCCCACGCATCACCCTTCTGTCAGTCCCTACATTGACTTCCTGTAAGATATAGGATTCAATTTAAAATTATGTTTTTTGCTTTCAAATCTCTACATAATGCTTCTACCACCTATCTATCCTCCCTAATACACAAGTATGTCCCGTCTAGGCCCTTACGCTGTGCTAAAGACTTACATCTATCTTCTGTCTGTACACCAACCTCTGATGCTCACCTTCAAGACTTCTCGAGGGCTGCATCGTTCCTGTGGAACTCAATTCCCTCCTCCATTTGATGCTCACCCAGTCTCCAATCCTTCAAAAAATCATTAAAAATACTATATAATACTATCATTACCTTTTGCGTCACTTTACCCCACTCCCTCTAGCATGTAAGCACATTGAGCAGGGCACTCAAACCGTCTGTTCCTGTGTGTCCAACTTGTCTGGTTACAACTACATGTTTGTTCGTCCACCCACTGTAAAGCGCTGCAGAATTTGTTGGTGCTATATAAATAACATAATAATCATGTTTTTTATGGCCAATGTATTTGAATGTTTTTTTTTTTATGTTTTTTATGGCCAAAGTATTTGAATGCACATATTGAAGCTGTTTAATTGACACCTTGATAGGTAAATATTGTTAGCAAAATTAAGAGGCAAAGTCTAGGTGTCAGTCTGCTTCATTATACAGGGCAATTCATGTGCATCTAAGGGAGAAACTGGGGAGAGCTGTCTAGGCAATTTGGGTCAAGTAAAAAAAGTGGTGAAGAGGCAAACAAGGTTTTTAAGACCTTACCATGGAGTGAGTTCCATTGAAATAAATCTAAATGTAAATACAATTAGAAAATGTTACTAGAAACAGTATAGGGTATTACAATTAAATATAAATACATGTTAACAGTGAGGAACTTAATACCCTAAGCTGATGTATATCGTTCAGATGTTACTTTACACAATTAGAATGAACACTACAATAAAAAAAAGTCAATTTTCGTCTTTCAGCAAAAGTAACACAAGTGGCTGCATTTTCTGATTCTGGAAGGAGTTTAGGATTTCAAATACGACTGGACTCTTTTCTGATTAGAAAGTTTGATATATATCATAGACTTTCCTGTCTTCCGTATCCAGAGTGAGGGAGATTGTTAAAAAGTAAACTGAAAGGAACCATTCTTTTATTTAGCAATTAACCCCATCTGAGTAAATAATACTGTGTTGTGCAATTGAGCTTTTGCTGTTATGCACAAAGTTCTGAATCTGAAACGGCTTCAAAGACAAGCTCACGGAATGATGACAAGATGCTACAGAAACAGCTTTTTATGTCGAATATAATGCAAGGATTGTATTACATGGTACAGTAACAAATGGGATAAAGTTGTAATGATATAGCAGATAACGTGTCTGGAAATACTTATCTAAAGGGAAACTTAATCTTATCCTAGTTTGAGCTTATAAGAATTTAAACATGGTATATGATTAAGAATGTTAAGTATGAGAAGAGGCATTTTATGAATGTTAATTACATTGAAGGGAAATATAAACAGGCGGTTAGGTCAGGAAAGCAAATAATTCACTTAACATTGAAAAAACAATTGTACCTCTTACTTTGGTCGTGAATGACATTTCCCAGTGGAAAGGCTTATGGGACAGTTCGAATGAAAGGAAAACTAACGGAGCATTAAACCCAGAAATGGCCATCATTCACCAAATGTAAATCAAGACTAAAGGTTAAATGTTGTAATGAAAGAAGCAGTCAAGGTCAAAGGCTTTTTTTGAACAACCTGTATTGAGAATTGCTATTGTCTCAATCATAACAGTTAGAACATTTTATCTGGGACCAGGACAATAGTGGATTGAATAGTTGTTCCAAGTTAGATCTCTTTACTTCTCATAGTAGCTTTGTGTTTTTTTGTTTTTGTTTATAACACTTTCTTTATGTCATAGATTTGTCATAAAATGTAATTTTATTTATATGTATCTATATATACATATATTACAACCATATTTTCCTTAACAATAGATGACAAACATGTTTCTAACTGTATGTAATGCTTTAGTGAGAAATTGCCCCGGACCCCAAAAACAAACACAAAGATCTATGAAGTAATTCCACTTTGCTCTTTGCACTCTGAATTTTTCTATAATGGTATATTGCCAAGGTTGCAGCTGGAGGAGCTCATGATGCTGTAATTTAGTGGAGACAGATAGGACAAGATGAGTTACTGACAGGATAAAGACATGATCAAGAGGAGCAGGTAGGCCAGTCTAGGTGGCAAGATTCTTTGGTGGAGAGGCAGGCAGATGGACAATTATTAAATGGACAGGTAGCTGGAGTGAGGAAAATGATGGGACAAGGCCACCAGTAAAGAAATGTGCTAAAAGATAGCACAGAAATGGTAGGTACAAGTAACTTAGAAACCATAACCATGGGTAACCATGGGTAACTTAGGTAATGCATACAAAGTAGGCACATATGGTTCATAGACTATAGGCACAGACAACACGTACACTATGCTTAGGCAGTACATAAGTTGAAGATACAGGTATCACAGAAATTGTTGCACAAAAAAAGCTTTAAATAGGATGTGCACACCCCTACAACACTGAGCCAACGTCACTGGTGCAGATCTTCTCACAGCTCCACCCCATTCCCTCATAAAGCACTCCAAATGCATGCCTGGGGGGACCCAGAAGATGAAATCTAATTGGCTGCAATGGCAGATGCTATGCAACATGGGGGACAGCCCAGAAAACTGCAGGTTCAGCAAGAGCATGGGCCTTGCCAGCCATTGACATGGCAGCCCAGAGTAGAGGAGGTCATGTAAGATATCTGTCTACATCTTGACATTAAACTACTCTTGGTAGTGTGGATTTGGCATTATTGAACAAGGATATTAAAACATCAAGAAAGATATTTTTCTTTGACTTTTGGGAGTACTACATGAGAACTTGACATCGCCAGAGAGGATTTATTTACCACCTTTGTTTTACTGCTGTACTTAGGAGTTGAAAACACAGCGTTAGCTCATGTTTATTTTTTGTTCAACAATTAACTAGTGTGCGCATTGATTGACTCAAAAAAACTAATCTGTGCTGATTTTTTAATTTTTGTTCTTAAATTGACTGAGGCCTTAATATAATATTTTTACATAATCTTTTCAAATGATTTATTGTTTTTAGATAAACTTTCGAAATGATTGAATATTTTGACAAATATTTAATATTCTAATATTTTTATAATTTTGATCTATTTTATATCTATCTATCTATCTATATATATATCTATATACCTTTTTTATTGGACTAACAGAATTTTTTTTATTATTTTTTTTTTATTCTTTATTTTTGTTGTGCTCAGTAAACAAGCAGTCTTACTTACTTTGCCACTTCAGCAAGATCAGTAAAACACATATCATAACAGTGTGGCAGTCGAGATATTAGCACAAGTTTTGGAATATGGATAATGCATATGTCAGTGAATCCTATAACAGTAACAGGCAAAGCCTTAAGTACTGGAACTGACATCTTAAGAATTATAAGTGGTGTAAAACATGCTAGGTTATTTTGCGTGAAGTAAGACTAATAAGTCAAGGGAAAACAAAAAAAAAAGAATAGAAAAAGAAAAGGGAGACTATGCCTGCAGGAGTTAGACAGCTAAACAATAATTTCTTGTCTGAACTTTACAACTTATTTCATTGTGGGCATAAAGCAATTGCAGAGAGAACATGTTTTGCCCATGCATGTGAGTTATAACAACTGGATCAATCAATGCATACCGACACATAAGTGTTGAGAGGAAGACTGAATACAAAACCAGCTGCAGGGTTAATCATCAGAAAAATAATTGAAAAATAACTGAAAATATGTAGTGTGTCACAAGAGTGAACAACTCAGTGGGTGCTATGGGTAAAGGGGAGAGGGTGGTGGAGAATGAGCAACACCAAGTAGGTGTGCAGTGTTCTGGACAGTGTTCCATGATCCCATGGTGAATTCAGCCAACACCCTCTATAGGTAGGGCACAGTCCCATATAGCAAGCTTTGACCCAAGATTTTCTGGTCCTCGAACCAATAGACCCTCTATCTGTTCTCTGTCTCGTGGCTTCACGTGAGATGCACCTGCAGAGTAGATTCCGTGCTGCTGAGTCTTCCGACATGGGCCACTGAGGGCACCTCTATCATAGTGCAGCTTGAAGTGGAGTCTCCGGGATTTCCGAGTTCGGCGAAGGAAAGGAATAGTGCCTGCTGTTTGTTGAGGCCTCCATTTCAGTAGCGGTCCCCTCTCCAGCAGAACACTGTTCTGCTTCAGGAACATGAACAGGTTGCTGAAATAAGGCAGGCACTAGAAACGCAGATGTTTTGCTTTGCATCCTGCTGGAAAGCGCACACTGTTGAAGTTTCTCCCAGAATCACAGGAAGATTTCTTTGAGGCATTGCAGGGAATCTGTGGCAGTACCTTGATGGGGCCTGTGGCTGTAGCAAGCTTTGAGTATAAGGTGAGTAATCAATTGCCATCTTGGGTACGCCACGAGGGCCAGCGTCTTGATGCAGTATTCAAGACTTGGAACTCGTATCGGGTAGATTGCTCTCATCCCCCTTTCTTGATCTGTCATTGGACACGCTGTGAGGTTCTCTGCCGGGGTCGGTGGCGGGACCAGAGGTCTTATGGGCTCCGTGGGGCAGGAGCAGTTGGTGAAGTGCCTTGATTTGCTGCCATTTTGAAAGGTATGCCTTGGGTGTTCCGTGCGCCTTAGGGTCCCCATAGCTCAAGCTCTCCCCATCTCAGGGTCTGCTACCTCCTGATCTCAGGGTCTGCTACCTCTGCCACAGCCATGTGGGTATCGCGTGGGTTTGTTTTGGGTCAATAGTTTCCTAAGAGGCCAGATTTCTCCAGAGTCTCTATTGAATGCGACCGGTCAGCATGGCAGTACGGCCCCGTCCCTTTAACAGAATTTTTTAATGACAAGCTTTTGGGAGAACCTCCCTTTCTCAAGTCTAAAGCATTTCTGAGCAAGACAACACACTCAGAAATTGAGGTTCTCCTGAAAGCTTGTCATTAATAAATTCTGTTAGTTCAATAAAAAAGGTATTACAAGATACAAATTTAATCTGTTTTTTTACATCTACATCACTGGACTAATACGGCTACAATCTCTCTCTCTCTCTCTCTCTCTATATATATATATATATATATATATACACACACACTTTTTGACATTCTTTATTATTGTAGTGCATTGTTTAGCAAACATGGTCGCATAGATATATTACAGAATTATGTACAATAAGGAGGTTGGCAACTCACGTACTGGAATCAAAAGAAAAACAACTTAACAAGGCATACTGAGTAATACGGTACTGTTAACCCTGTACTATGAGATACTATGTCAACCCTGTACTAAAAGATTATGCCCCATTGCCTTTATAAAAACATTGTAGTGACAGAGCACTGCAGTATGCAGACTGTCACGTACCAAAATAGACAATGTAAACTTGAAGTGAAAAATAAGCATTTATCCATGCATTCTATAATACTGCTGCTTTACTGGAAAACAAAATGACTACATGTAAGCATGAGAGAAATAAAAACAAAAAATGGAAAAAGAAAAATGATCCTTATTGGTGTTACTGTAAAGTAGACCATGGAAGGGTGAGCCATTGACACAGGTACACTGAGACAAACAAGATATCTATGGAGAGGTAAAGAATGATCATAAGCTAAAACTGCAGCATACGCCACCTGCATTGACACTATTTTAGATAAGTCACCCAATACCCTTGCTAAGCTTCCGGCTCCCATCACGAGACAATGTCCCAGAGTTCCATTTTGATCCACCGCATCTGCACCAGCCATTGGAAGAGCCCATATGGGATCCCACAATTTACGGTGACACATGGTACCAAGAACAGAATCCCAGGAGGATTGATGGAAGTCTCTCCGGGGTAATATGGCATGCATCGGGGGACATTCCCTCTAGACCCTAAACCGGTTTACGGTAGCGGGTCATGGGCACCTTGGGAGCTAACCGAGTGCCAGGAGATCGGTACAATCTTCTTCTCTGCATGCTAGTAGGGAAATTTTCTTTTGATCCAAGCTGGATGTGGTGATTTGATGATCAGAAGTTAAGTCAAGCAGTGAGCTATCACTCCATGTTTTCTCTACAGGCTGGCATATTCTGCACTCTAGCTTCCTCCAAAACTTAGCAAAGATCATGTACAGCCATGATGTGGTAATTTCCAGGAGGCCTTGTGGAACTCAAGTAAGCATGATGTCAGCAATCTTGACTGAGGCTGTAGAGTAGGCAGCTTGGTACCAGGGCAACCACTGGGTCACTACTTCACCTCAAGTTGGGAGACCGCAGGTTAGTGGGTAGTTGTTGGGTGACCCTCACCAGCAGGGGAAGGGAGGGGCTACCAATGTCAAGTGCTCTGGCAGAGTTATCAGCAGGTAAGTACACCCCTTCCCCTGTCTGCATCCACACGTAGACCGCAGAGAGGCCTCGGAATTAGACTGCTGATCAGGTCAAGCAATGCTACAGAATTTAAAGTGTTCCCAACACTAATATAAGATATATTTTTTTGGTGATTGAGTAACCTACCAGAAGACCAGCATTTTAAGATTTCCCAATCAAAAAATGCTTATACTTTGTTAAATTCCCATTCCATGACAAAAACATGATCATGCTACCAGTGAGCAAGGACTTTGAGTGGTGTCTAAAGTAGGTGGGGCGTAATTGCATTAGTTTTATTTTTTTATTCTTTAGCTCCCAATTTTTCTTCAACACATTACATAGGGGCCATTGGAATGGGGTTTCAGCTCCATTAGCCCCTTAGTTACTAAAGCATTGTGTATGCTCTGAATAATTGTATTCCACATCACTTGAAGGATGTTCATAATCCTTCTACAAGGGTAAAAACTAAGATGGTCCTTTTATTTTCTAACAATATATAGGTGTAATTGTATTCTCTAAAATAACACCATTGTGCGCCACATACTTTTGCCTGTGATAAGATTATTTTTCTTCATGAAATCTCTCAAGGGTCATTTATGAATATGAACATATATCTCTTAATTTATCTATACCTTCTAACAGGAGGTAGGTAATTTGGGTGCAAATGCTCCATAGAAGGGTTGTGTTGACTATGTAAATACCCCCAAAACATACGTGTTTCAGTTTGACAAGTATGTGAACTGATTTGACAGAGCTATATCAAAGTTTTCTTGTACAGTTTAGCAGAGTGCAATCATATTTAATGATATGCCATTAATGTGTTTTCTGTGGATTTGTCTATTGTGTCCCCAAAAGCAGAAGACAAGAGAACCAACCTGAATATTGGGGCAGTGAAATAAATTTCTGGCGGAATCGAGACACTTGGAAGTCATCTGTTGTTACTGTACTTTGAGTAAAAAAAATTATTTAAATCTACTATTAAATACATATTGAAACCACCAAACATGCAAAATATAGACGGCGGTTTATACTCTATACACTGTTTAAATTATGTGAACTCATCACTTGATGGCTGAAATGTTTTCTGATATCTAAGTCATCAAAATGTTTCTGGAAGGCTATACGTACTTGTTCGCAGTTAGTGTTCAAAAATATTAGGGAAAAAAAGTCTCATCTGTTTATTGAATTGACTGATATTACAGCAAAAACAACAAAAGATCTATTACAGACATTAAATAGGGCAATGAGAAAAAGGCACACAAGGGACATCATACCTCCTAGGCCTTTAATAAAAAACATAAAGATAAAACAAAATTTTCAAAGTCGGTATGTGTTACACAATTTACAGAGTTATATAGATCCATCTCTTTGATTCATATGGTTTACTTTACGAAAGTTCTTCAGTCGTCTCATCTTTTCATCCAAAGCAATTTTAAATTGCACATTCCTAATATTCTTTCATCAAATTTCAATCTCTTTCATATTACTGCAAAGTGGAGTTACACATTTTAAGGGGATCCCTGCTGTGTACATGCCTTTACTGTTAATTGGATTACGTCTTAATTGGATTATTGTGATTGGCTGTAAAGAAGAGCTGAAGAACTAGGTAATGTTTTTGAAAGAGTAGTGGTCACGACAGAGATTCTTAAATTACAATAAACTGACTTTTGACTTCACAAATAGATTACATTTCTACACCCTTTATAAGAGAATTCAAAGTTATCTTTGAAACATTTACAAATGGAGAAAGAGTTACATTTAAATTTAAAAGACTAAAGCAATAAAGTGAAAAAGTATATATAGAACAGATGCAAACACAAGGGAAGTCTCACACAGCAAATGAAGAATATATACACATATATCAAATCACACAACACAAGCCATTCACCAACCGATCACTTACTATAAGTTGGAAATTCAAGACATTATCTACTAAACAGGCAGTTGTGGTGTGCAGAAAACCACAAATTTTAATTGGAAAATTAGATTATTTTCTTAATTTAGCTATTACTAATTCTAGTAATACAGTATGCAAAGTTTAGTCAGTAATCAATTACCCAACAATCACGAGTTGGAGATGAGATCAAGCTTTGCAACTTTTTAGTCTTCAATCTTTGTCGTAACGACAGGAAAGCCATATGTTACATTATATTGGAACTACAGTAAAGGTAATGTTGGTATAAGTATCAACATTTTTACTCAATCTTTAAAAAAATAAATTAAGAAACTTTGTGTAACTGTGATATAGTTCAGTTTTACAACATTCAATCAATCACAATTAGAAATGGCTCATAGATACTGTGTTAGATGTTTAAAACCCATGCTTTAAATTTGATAGTGTTATTTATTTTCATTCCTTATGGTATCCTGCGGTGTCGGGTGTTTTATCACAGTATTTCTGGCTGAAATAACTTGAGCCTATCCCACACAATCTATATATTACTTCTTCATTCCACAGAGAGTGGGGCAAAGTCCATCGCCTATTTAGCATCACTAAACATTCTTACATATTATTTTCAAATGGTTTGACTAGTTCATCTTGATGGGTGCCACGGTGCTCCTGACACCACAACCACTACAGAGCACTGGTGGTTATGGTGCTTAAACATTTCCTTTGAATTTGCATTTGACTCAGTAGGGTCACACATGTCACGTATCAAGCTAGGATAAGATGGCAGAGAAACCACTTTAGAGAATAATGTGATTTAACAATTTAGATAATACCACAGCTATTTGTTACCCTCCACCTACATATTATTCTCATCATTATTAGTGAGTAACACTACTAAACAATTAGGGGTTTAAGTGGTCTTGAGGACAATAGTTTTGTGTCCTCATTTAATGTACCCCTGTCCATGGTACT